GGGGGGGCACCCCCCGGAGCCCCCCCACCCCGGAGAGCGAGCGGAACGCACGCGCCCATCGTGGTCCCGACACGATGTGGCCGCGCTGCGAAATTTGGTCACATCGGCCATCACGCTTGCGGGCTCGCCACTTTTTGTTGTGATGCATGTTTCACTCTCCCCCATTGGCCCCGCCATCGTGGGGCGTCAATCTCGGGGCAAGTCTTAGCATCAAGCGAGGGGAACGGTTGCAAGGCCAAAGTGCCGACAGCGTCGAGACCGACGCTGCCATTGCCGCTGCGGATTTACTGCAGAAGCTCGAGAAGGGCTACTACACGTTACCCGACGGTCACCCGACGGCAGACGCCGCAAGATCAACAACGATGCCAGTAAGTTGATGTTTGCCGTCGGCCTCGGCAACCTGCAGCGGCGGCTCTTGGCTGACTTCCGTTTTCGATGCCGCGCCATTCCAGGCGCGCAGGAGATTCGGACGGAGATTGGGCACCTGGGGACCTGGGCGTGCGTCAACTACGGGAATGGCATATTCTGTGCCCTTTCCCCGGGAGAGCGGCACAATTATCTAGCGCTCAGGCTCAGCAGGTACCGCCAGGACTATCCTTTCGTTGCAGGCGAGAGCAGGAGGCAGAAGTGGGCAAAGAGCGGTTCGCCGAGCCTGGAGCCGTCGCCAGAGGACGCCTTTGAGGTCAATATTCCCGGGTATGACACGCGGCGTTTGTTCCTCGCGGAAGATCCTTCGGCCGCCTCTAGCGCATTCTTCGTGCAGATCCGCACGGTCTTGGCGACGATGCTCGGAGTGCGGATGTGCCCTCGCTGTCCGCAGGAGATTGTTTTTTTATCCTCTGGGGGGTAACGCTCGTTACCCGGGCCTCTCCCCCCCCCCCCCCCGTAACGGTAACGCTCGTACGCGGGGGGGGTCTCGGTCTTCCCCTCCAACATGCTGGTGCCCGAAGGCATGCGCACTGTGGTGTGGTGGTCGCAGGCGCACTGTGGGCGCTCGCAGGCCATTGCGGCGCTCGCATGCGCGATGCTGGTGCTTGCGGGCTTTGCGCTTGTACTCGAATCGTCGTCGTCGTCGACGGCGCCCGAAAAACGGCCTCCGGAGTCCGACAAAGGCACAAAAACAACGTCGTCGTCGTCGTCGTCGTCCTCGTCGTCGTCGTCGTCGTCGTCGTCGTCCTCGTCCTCGTTGCCGTCGTCGTCGTCGTCGTCGTCGTCGTCGTCGTCGTCGTCGTCGTCGTCGTCGACGGCGCCCGAAAAACGGCCTCCGGAGTCCGAAAAAGGCGAAAAACGTTCGTCGTCGTCGTCGTCGTCGTCGCCATCGTCGTCGTCGACGGCGCCCGAAAACGGCCTCGGGAGGGCGAAACAGGCGGCAAACGTCGTCGTCGTCGTCGACCACGCGGCGGGCTTTGCGCTTGTACTCGAATCGCAAGCCACTGTGGTGCTCTCAGGCAGGGAGTGCTGCTCGCGCGCATACTATGGCGATCGCAGAGCGCCCCTGCCTCGCCATACCCCGCCCAGCCCAAGCGTTACCGTTACCCGGGGGGCACGACCGCCCCCCCCCCCCCCCCCCCGGGTAACGAGCGTTATCGGCCAGAATAAAAAAACAATCTCCAGTGCTCCGAATCTGCATCGCCGTGCCAGGGCGCCCTCGGCAGCAGCGCGGAAGCCATGGGAGGCATTGCCGGGCGCGTGGACGCTTTGTTCGGCGCCGTGGAGGCGCAGAAAACGACGGGGGGGCTGCGCTACCATTTTTTCATGTTCGCGCAGCGCTTGCACCAGTTCGCCACGCTGAAGGAGATCGCAGAGAAGATTGAGAAAGGACTCGCGAATGCGGTGGAGCTGAAACATTTCCTCGGGCAAATCTGCTGCGAGAAATATCCCGACGCAGAACATTTCGCTAGAGAGAGGAAGTCGCTGGAACAGAACTTCCCGACGTACTCAGAATCATCGGAATGCTCCGGTTCGCCGGCATGGGGGGAGTTCAAGTTGGGTCGACTGCCTCGTTTTCTATATGGGGATGCCGCGACCACGCTGGCCCTGTCCGAGCAAGCGACCCTAGGGAGTGCTCAGAAGTCTTGCTCTGGTAACGACGGTGCAAGTTTCAAAGGGAAATTCAACGGTGCGCTACAGTATTTCATGAGTCGGTGCCAGCACCATATACACCGACTGGTTATAGACCCCAAGACCAAGCAAGAGAAGCGTTTGGCGCCCAACGCGTGCGCTTCCAAAAAGAACAAGCGAGAGTGCAAGCACGAGGCGCCGTGGACCAACAGAGTATCCCCCGAGTGGATGACGACGCCGCTGCTGGTTTGCAAGGGCATTGCCAAGAAGTTCACGCTCCGCGCGAGCGGCGTCCGAAATTGGCTGGGGCAAACTCTCGGCTTGCGCAATGAGGAGTGGTTGAACGGGGGCATGCCGGGCCTCTGCGTCGCCTTTGCAGGGGGCAACAGCGACGTGAAACCCAGCGACCGATTGCCGATCATCGAACAGACGCACGAATCTTGCTTCACGAAGAAGCGCTGCACCATGAAGAAGCAGGGTCTCAGAAGAGCCACGCGAGCAACTCAGCGTACGCAGGTAGTGACGAATGGCTATTTCGGGGGATACATTGGCAAGCGACAGCCCGCGGGCACTCTGGGGACGAAGAAATGCGTCGACAACCTGTTTACCTTGAGGGCGAAGATACAGGGCAGGGGCATAGCAGCGCAGCTCAGAGCAAGCAGCGGGAGGCTGATAACGGAACTCGAGATGAACAGCACGTGCCGCGGCGCCGAGGAAGTCTACAACTCGTGTTGCAATCCAGAGGGACGTTCTGAAGGCAGAGTGCATCCGGACGTTTGGGTCGCAGGCGATCGATGGGCGGTCGTGGATTCACAGGTTGGAAACGTCCCAGAATTCGTCGCAGATGAAGGACACCAGCGTGACGACGCACGTCCCGCCAGCTCGCAAACCGAGCATGCGGACGGACCGGTCGAGAGTGAACGAGTTCGACGCCTACGCATATCGCCCCTTGGAGCACCCTTGGAAGTTGTTGTCTGCGTACGAGTTCTTGCGACAATGGCGGTGCGAACCACTCCTGGTTCCGACGTACTACTTGAACCGCAACCAGCCAGCGCGAACTGCGTGGACTAAGGGAGGCGAACAATTAATCAGGGGCAAGCAGTACAAGGATGGGGAAGTCGCCGCGAAGCCTGGGGAGCATTACATAGCAGTGAGACCCCAGACCGATGAGTATTTCGTTTTCCCGCACGACGCCTGCCTGAGCGACGAGGGTATCCGAATGCCATGTTATGTATCAGGTGCCGCGCCCCTCCCGCTCCTCCAGGGAGGCCCCGCTTGGACGAGGATGGTATTCGCAAGCCTCTGGTTGTTTATCAGGTTTCGTAGCCCTCCCACTCCTCCAGGGAGGCCCCGCCTGAGCGAGGAGGGTATTCGAAGACCATGTTATGTATCAGGTGTTGTGCCCCTCGCGCTCCTCCAGGGGCGAACGTGTTTCCTGAACAACCGTCGTCTTCCTCCCTGCTGCTCCCCCCCCTTGCCTTTGTCTGCCGTTTCGTGCGTACGTACTTTTGCGATGGCCCTATTCGTATTGCTATTATTTGTGCCTCATTGATGCCACGAGTCCCTCAACATCCTTCTGTGGGGAACTCCGTGCGCATAATGATCGTTTTCTTTTTTCTCTGTCTCTACTCTTGTCTCGCACCTCTCTCGTGCCTGCCTGGGCGTGCTGTTTTATTGCGACGCTGATGAGCGGCGGCGACCGCGGGGGGGAAGTGAGAAGGAGCGGGCCGTCTCAGAAGGTTCGGAAGTCCCCCGGCCTTCTGAGAAGTTCTCTCAGCCTTCCCCGAAGGCGCAGAACATTTCTGAGAAGGCGCGAGGGCTTCTGAGAAGTCCTGCCGCCTTCTGAGAAGGCCTTCTCCTTGTCACTTCCCTCCCTCGCTCGCCGCCCAGATAAGGCCAGGAGCCTGTCAGCAGACGCCGGCGCTGCAACTAGCAGACGATCAGTGGATCTCACACTTTCTGCACGGGCGCCAAGGTAACGAGTGCAGTACGGCGAACAGTGGAAAGCGCCAGGGGACAGAGCAAGACATGCAGGCGGCAAGGGGCGATCCTGGAGTGATGCATTCGCAGTGCCTCGGACCCCAGCAGAAGGAGAATAACGATACATGCCACAAGGACATACCGTACGATACATGCCAGAAGGACATGCCGTACGATACATGCCTGGTGGCAAGATTTGGCCGTACGATACATGCCAGAAGAAGAGGAGGTATCGTCGTCCCCAGGACGGCACTCAGACGAAAAAGCGGGGGGCACACAGCGAGTGATCTTCGCACAGAGACGAGGGGGATAAGCCAGCTGCACGTCTCTGGAACTCCTCCTCCTCCTCCTCCTCCTCGCCTCCCCCCCTCTCCTTCTTCTCCTGGCGAAACTGGCGTACATTGCCCGAGACAATAAGTACAGCATGCCTGCCCGCGAGTGTGCGACAGACGACGGACGAGAGGGGGAGGAGAAGGAGGAGAAAGAGGAGGAGAAGAAGGAGGAGCAGGAGGAAAAGGAGGCGGAGGCGGAGGAGGGGGAGGGGGAGGAGGAAGAGGAGGAGGAGCAGGAGGAGGAGGCGGAGGAGCAGGAGGAGGAGCAGGAGGAGGAGGCGAAGGAGGAGCAGGAGGCGGAGGAGGAGGAGGAGAAGGAGGAGGAGGAGAGAGAAGGAGGAGGATGTGGAGTTTGAGGACAATGAGGAGGAGAGGAGGGGAGGAGGAGGAGGAGGAGGAGGAGGAGGAGGAGGAGGAGGAGGAGGAGGAGGAGGGGAGGGGAGGAGGAGGAGGAGTGGAGGAGAAGGAGGAGGAGGAGGAGGAGGAGGAGGGATGAGGATGAGGAGGAGGAGGAGGAGGAGGGGAGGAGGAGGGATGAGGAGGAGGAGGAGAAGGAGGAGAAGGAGGAGGAGGGGTCGGTGACATCGGGTGGACTCCGTTCCCCTTGTGTCCTTTTTCCGCTCAGGCGCTCCGCGCCACGCTGCCGGACGGCGCTTTCTGGCGAAGCACCAAGTACATGTACGGCGAGGAGGTGTTGTTGCCGTCCGGGCTGATCAACCTGCGCGAGTCCATCTCGGGGCCCCAGAGACCTGATCTCTTCTCGTCGTGAAAAAAATATGGCGGAAGGTCTGCAATTGTGTTATTTCCAGGCCCCGACACCGTCGAGAAACGATTCGGACTAAACAGCTAGTCCCCAGGAAGGGGTCCAGACCTCTGGGGAATCGTGTTGAACAGGTCACGACGTCGGAGGTCGGAGAAGCAGGACTTTGCAAACCTCCGAGCTGCTGATCAGCAGGACTGGGGGTGGTCAGGGGTAGCTACAGATTCGCGCCTCGGTGGCCCGAACCGGAGTTATCCTGGACCGCAGGTATCTCGGATAGTTCGGGCGTCCAGCCCTCGGACCATCGGGGGCTCCGGGCAGTCGGGGGTCAGCTATACGGGTTCGCGCCTCCGGGGCCCAGAGTGGAGCTACCCCAGACCGCAGTTAGCCAGGTCGGGCGCTCAAAACCCAGACCCCCGACGTCGTGAGTTTTTCATACCGTCGACCCCCAGAGGTCTCGACCCGTTCCCCGGCACGGGTTTCTCATCCCGAGTCGTTTTGTCACAGTCCCGAGGCCCAGTGGGGGCCCCCGGAGGCCGAAAGTATAAAAAAACACCTCCGTCGCGATTTCTTGGCAGCGCGATGGGGTCTGGGAAACCAGGATTGTACAATATTTGCACCAGGGGGGGCACGAAGAGTGGAGGACGCCTCGACCCACGGCTGCAGCCCGGTCTGGGCGTGCCAACGTGTCCTGGCTTGTTCGGAGTCCGCTCTCGTGGGGCCCTGGCCATCCGCAACATCGTCGACATGGAGGAGAAAGGCTTGTCGCTGCCGCGGTGCACCCGCCGACTGGCCTCTGACAGGAGCCTCAGAGGACGAATCTCTCGTACATGTGTTTATGGACTTGTGCAAATCAATATATATATATATATATGTATATATATATACGCATGTGCATATGCATATACATGTATATACTCTGCACATGCATACTGGGATCCATACATACCTGCATACATACATACATGCATGCACGCACGCATGCGTACATGCATATGTGCATACACATGCATGTATGCATACTGACAGTCATACGTGCATACATGTATACACGTATGCATCAATACATACAAGAACATACGTACGTGCATATATACATACAGCCATACGTATGTACGAGCAGACGCACATACATACATACGCACATACATCATATATCCGCACATGCATGCATACATACATACATGCGCATACATACATACATACGTACATACATACATGCACGCATACATACATACACATGCATACACACATACATACACACATATACATACACACACATACATACACACATCCATGCATACATACATACATACATACATACATCCATACATACATACATACATACATACATACATACATACACATAAACACATGCATACGTACATATATGCATACATACATACATACATACATGCATACAATTACATACAACTACATACACACATACATACATACATACATATACATACATACGTACTTACATTCATACATACATACATACATACATACATACATACATACATACACTTACACATACAGACATGCACACGCCTACGTACATACATGCATGCAGGCAGGCATGCATAGATACATACATGCGTACAACCATACATAGTTGTATTGCCAGAGCTACGCGCACGCTTCGCGCGTGCTTAGGTTCTGGCAAGCACCCGCCCTTGACAAGTTCACGGCTGAATGCATGCAAGCACACACGCACACACCCAAACATGAACACCATATGAGATGAAGTCAGAGGCATGCCCAGGTGTTTTCAATGCGACGCAGTGCGAAACAGTGCAACGCCGCGATTCAAGCAATGGAAGTGCAACGCCGCCGCAGTTTTTGCAGTGGAAGTCGAACTCAAGCAATTTTATCATGGTAAGCTGATGTAGCGACAACCCGTTGTAACGCAACGCAGCACAACGAATTTCAAGGAACAGTTAGCAAAGCAATTAAAAGGACATACAACGCCGTGCATCTCCACCCACAGCAGAGCAATGCAAAGGAATACGTCGCGAAGCATCAACGAGCAAGATCAAATCAAAGCAAAGCAATGCAATGCGATCGAATTGAAAGAAAACGACGAAACCAGCAACCGAGAGAACGTGGAACTCGGATAGCGTACGGACGAGGACTCCCACGATAGAGCCTTGGGAACTTGAATTGGAGGCCGTAAGTGCCACCATGTCCCCTGCACAGCGGAAGGGCTAGAGAGGGAAGGGAATAACGAGGAGGTAACCAGAGGACACGGGCCGCAGCAGGGACGAGCCGAGAGGCGAAGCGGGAGGAGAAACAGAGGGAGGGGAAGAGGGAGGGCGGGATGCAGGAGCCAGGGGGGAAAGAGAGAGGAGGTGGCAGGACAAAAGAGGTACGATCGAGAAGGGAGGGATTCAAGTGGAGGGCCGGAGGAGCGGGGCCGTATCTGAAGGACGTGTTGGAAGGGCATTATTTTGAACTTTGTTGGGCGTGGGCCAGCTGAGACACCTGTAATGACTCTCAAGTGGCCCTTGGGGGGGGCACCTTAGCAACCGCTAGTAAGGACCTTGGGCTTCCTGAGCGAGTAGGGTTAGGCCGGGCCTGTCCTTCTACAGGGGAGCATTCAAGCAAAGTCAAGAAAGTGGTCTGGGGACGATCTTTAATGTTGGACTATTCTAACAATTTTCGTCCAAAGCCCGCCTGCAGGGAGACGCGCCCGACCTAAGAGTAGGGAGGCAGATCCGGATATCTCGGAGCATGCTCGGGCCCTCGGAAGGCCTGCCTGGGGCCGAGGCTGGCGCCGCTGGACGGTCTAGGGCCCCAGGGTTACGTCGGACGTGTCCCCCTAAAGGGGGATGTTCGACGAAACATAAAACATACACCAACAGTAGTCATAAAATAGTCCAAAAACAGTCTGGGGACTATTTTTGAGTATTTTTTGACCCTTTTGGGGCATTTTTGGTGTATTTTTTCATTTCGTCGAAGATCCCCCTGTAGGGGGACACGCCCGACATAACCCCAGGGGCAGTCGAGGCCGAGCTGGGGCCCCTCGCAGGGGCCCCTCGCCATGGCTCCAACATCACAGAGCGGATCTCGTTCGGAAAACGACAGGGTGGGCCCGGGGCGTCCTGGAGAATTTCGCTCCGGATTTCGAGGTGAATTTCGTGCAGATTCTTTTCTTATAAACCAAGAAGAATCCGCGCGAAATTCACGTCGTTTTTCGCTCGCCGCTTCGGGCAAAAATCAACGCAGAAATCCGCTGCAGCACGTCTGCAAGGCCGGTGCAATGACTCTTGAAACGGTGGCCGCCGATCCAAAACCCCTGAGGAATAATCTTCGGCCCCGGGGGGGGGCAGAGCTCGCCAAGGCGCCCATGGGGCCTCCGGAGCCTCCAAAAGGGCGCAAGACAGCCCCAGAGAGCCCAGACAGAGCGCCAAGACAGTCCAAGTGATCGTTGGAACGGCCCAGGGTAGTCCCACGACGGTCCAAGCCGGCTTCAAGACGGCAAACAAGGCCTCCAAGACGACCCAAGAGCGCTCCTAGAGGAAGCCCGAGAGGGTACCAAAAAGCAAAAACAGCAGTGCGTCCTTCAGACAAGACGTATCTGTTTGACAGGTTCGTCTTTTCGGTCTTGCCAGCGGCCAAGACGGCAAGTTCGGCCCACGACGGCTCATGAGGTCCTCAGGAGGACCCCAGACGGCCTGAGAGGGCTCCAAGACGGCCCAAGGAGCCCCCAAGACGGTCGAAGAGGGAGACGATCCGTTTCGCGGACCAGCGCTTATTCACAACCCACCAGAGAGAAAAGCATTACCCCCCCGATATACATAGACAATTACATAGACCTTATGCATACACAGATACGTACACGTACACCTACATATATCCATACACATACACATATACAACTACACATACAAATATATGTACATGTCCATATACATATTCACATACACATGCACATACACACATTTACACATATATAAACACCTACATATACATTTACATACACATGTACATATACCTATGCATATCCATACGCATGGACGTTTACATACACATACACATTCAGAGCGTACTCCAAACACAACTATGGCACATGTTTTAGGAGAGCATCGTATACAGCCACCAAACGCAGGGCACGAAATACTGACGTATTTGTCGAGACGTTTTTGTCGATGCGTATTTGTCGCCACTCCAGGGCCTGCCGACAAAGTCATGGGGCTGGTTTAATCAACAGGCAACGAATCGTTTTGGCACATTCTCAGACGGACGCGTTTGATTTGGGCGGTTCCGCCCACGCGGCACCAGGCTGGGCCTTGCCGACGATGAAGATGCGAAGTCGGCAAACCTTTCGAACAATCAATCAATTGACCCTGCCAAATACATGCACACAATAGTCGCTGTAAGGAGGAGTGGGTGTCGATATTCTGCTCCCCACGCTGCGTGGCCGGAGCAGGCCCAGGATCATCGCTGACCTCAGGGGCAGCGTTACTGAGGGATAGGCTCAGGGGGGGATGCGTCGACCTCCCAATCGCCCATTCATCGCCGTTTGGGGCCTGATTGCCCCAACCTGCCCAGGAGCGTATGGTTTTGTGACGATTCAAGTCCTATCGCCGAACTATCGGCGACGCATCGCCGATTCCAGATCGATATTTCCCCCTGTAGGCCCGCCCCCCCAATCCTTGCCCCCCAATATGGCCCTGGCTGTCCAGGGTCAGCGCTGACTATGGTCAGCGTGCCCCTGAAGGTTCTGACATTTGTTTGAGCGTGTTTGCCCTCCTCTCAATCGGCCTCCTCCAGGTCCAGGGACCTCTGGGGTGAAGTCGGGCGTGTCCCTCTTCAGGGGGGAATCTGCATTCAAGCATAGAACAACATACTCAGGGGGTGATTTGTTGATGAGTTGTTTTTGCCTACTACGTTGAGTGCGTTCGACTATGTTTCCTCCAGAATCTGCCTGTAGGGGGACATGCCCGACCTAACTTCGGGGTCCTCCCTCCTCTGCGCGCTTGGATCTGCAGGGCTCAGGGGCGCTTGGGGTGCAACCAGGATGACCAGCGAGGACGAGCACCCTAACTTCCTCGCGTCGTGATGAACAAGGGCGCCCTCGAGGGCGCTAAGTTATTCGCGCTTCGCGGTTCGGCTCCGATTCCTCCTCATCTTCCTCTTCTCCCCTGGGAGGCGGCGCGAGAGCGCGAAGTTATTCGCACTTCGCGCTGCTCGAAAAATACCACGGTAGGCCTTGGACAATTCTCTGCCTTTGGAGGCCCTGGCCGAGCCGGTCACAAGCGAAAAATTGGGATTCTCGGCTCGGGATGAAGAACGCGCCTTGGGGAAAGGACCAGGGCTTCGAGGACCCCGTATTGAAAACATCAGGACGTCGGAGGTCTGGGAAGAGGATCGGATCCGTTGTGTTTTGCGGTGGCTTCTCGTCCTGAGTGGCCTGTTGACGGTCCTGGGTGCTGGCAGGGGCCCCCATGCGCCGGAAACAGGCTGATTGCCTTGCCGGTGTCACCCCAACATACGTATACTATGCGTATACTATGTACGCCTCGCCCCCCCAGGGGCGACGCGCGCGCCGAGAAGTCTTCTAGTACAAGCTCCGTGGCGGGCCCTTTCTGACCACAACGCTCGGGAAACGGTGTACTACGAGATCGTCATACTGTATGCTCGGGTCGGACGCGCGCCTCCGAGGAGGACACAGCACCAGTGCTACTAGTATGGTGGTGTGCGTCCCACCCTGCGTCGTGCTCTCTTCGCGACGCGAGGTCGGGGACTTTGCGCGCCTTTGGCCACACGGCCCGCGGCTTCTTCCCCTGGCCGAGGCGGGGCCGCCGGTGAGCAGCCTGCGCGCTGCTGCCCGCGAGCGCTGCGCGCCCTGGCGCTGCGCTCCGCGCCGGCAGAAAAGAGCCCGGCGCCGTCCCCAGAACTCCTCCCCCTCCTCCTCCTCCTCCTCCTCTTCCTCCTCCTCCTCCTCCTCCTCCTCCTCCTCCTCCTCCTCCTCCTCCTCTTTGTCCTCCTCCTCCTCCCTCCTCCTCCTCCTCCTCTCCCTCCTCCTCCTCCATCCTCCTCCTCCCTCCTCTCCTCCTCCTCCTCTTTTCCTCCTCCTCCTCTCCTCCTCCTCCCCTCTCCTCTCCTCCCTCTCCCCCTCCCTCCCTCCCTCCTCCCCCCCTCCTCCCCTCCTCCCCTCCTCCTCCTCCTCCTCCTCCTCCTCCTCCTCCTCCTCTTCCTCCTCCTCCTCCTCCTCCTCCCCATCAGACCCCTTCGGGTTATGAAAAATCACGACGGCAGTTTTTGCGTGATTTTCGGGCGTAGCCCGAGAGTATGTTTTTCGCGGGATACATTGGCTGAACGGAACTGAACTGAACAGATTGGTCGCACCCTTTACGCGACGGTGTTCTTCTTGGCCGCCAAGGGCGCAACCTATGGCGCAACCGATAGGAGACGGCTTTATTCTCGGCCGCCGAGGGCGCAACCTATGGCGCAACCGATAAGAAACGGTTTGTTCTCAGCCGCCGAGGGCGCAACCGATAGGAATCCGAGCTGTAGCAGGAGGAAGACGAGGAAGTCGAGGAGGATGAGGAGGAGGACGAGGAGTAGGACGACGACGACGACCAGGATGGGGAGGAGGACGGGGAGGAGTACGAGGACGAAGTGTGGGCATTCGAATGCGTGCGGGGCTACGCCCGATTCATGCTCGCCGCTTGGGCTGGCGGTGTGGCCCAAGCGGCAAGTTGTCTTGTGATTTCGGCCTCTGGGAGCCCTTACCGGGCCTCGGGACCGTCGAACAACAACTCAGGACGAGGAACCAGTCCTGGGGAATGGGTCCAGACCGCTGGGGGTCCACGTCATGAAAAATTCATGACGTCGGGGGTGTGGAACTCCTCGCGCTGTGAACACTTTCGGACCCTGGCGTCGCATTTTTTTCTGCACCAGGCGTTGTCGCCTCCTTTCGGGCCCCAGGACCCTCACGGATCGATCCAGCTCGAAGCAGGTCGCAGAAAGACGAAGGGGTCTTGGGCTCCGTAAGGGTTTCTACCTCGATTCTGTATGGTTGCGCAAAGTCGGGCTTCAGTAGGCATTTTGCGGCTCTTCTTGGGCGTTCCTTCACCGCAACCCGGGACCGTCGAGAAAGAGAGAGTTTTTGTTGACCTCCTTGCGATCACGGGTGAATGCGAGGGGGGCCGAGGGGGGGGGGGCAGTCACGTCACGATGCTCGGCGGCGCAGTTTGGGAATGCGTAGGAACGGCTAAGTCCCAGAAGGCGCCGGCGCGAATCGTGACGTGACCAGTGGGGGGAGGGGGGTCGGGGCCAGTCACATGCGTTATCGCGGAGAATAAACAAACGAACTTGAACGATTCGATATTAAGATTTGGGCCCGGGGAAGGGTTCCAGTCCAGCCAGTCCGCGGAGAAATCACTTTGGAGCCAGTTGTGTTTTTTAAATTTAAAAAAATCCGGGCCGATGACGGCCGTCATCTGGGGGGGAGGGGACCGACGACGTCACGTTTCGCGCTGGCGGCGTCTGGAAATGCCTAGGAATGCTCGAGGACGGGTAGCAGCAGCAGGTAGGTTGCGATCTGCTCCACAGCGACTGTGTGTACCACAGTGCCTGCGTGCACCACAGCGCTTCCCCCCACCCCGTCCACCTCTTCCTCCCCCTCCTCCTCCTTCTCCTCCTCCGCCTCCTCCTCCTCCTCCTCCCCCTCCTCCTTCTCCTCTCCCTGAGAAAACTTCCAGGAGGGCCGAGGGACTTCCGAGCTTTCTGAGAATGCCCGCCCCGTTCATGAGGACGCGGAGCATTAGAATGATGGGGACGCGTCTTGAGAGCAACGGGTTCTGGACCTTGCGGCCTTCCCCAGGACCAGTTCTTCATCCTGAGTCGTGCTCTGACAGACCCTGGGTCCGCGGAGGACACCGCGGCGGCGCCATTGCCACGTCGCCGATCGACACTTCGGGGCTGCTCGCCGATCAGTACCTCCCCTGGACAGCCCTTCCCCGCCCACGTGCCTCGAGCCATGATCTGCGAGCAACCCGCTTGGGCGCCCCCCGCTCGGGCGCCCCTGACGGGGGCCCGAGGGCAGGGACCAGCCTCGAAGGTCATCCGACACGGATGCTCGGCTCTGGCTGAGCGGCTGAGCCAGGCCTGCTGACTCAGGTCCTCGACTCGCTTCTCGGCGGCGAGCCCGTGGGCGAAGTGCGAAGGGGCGGGCCTTTTTCAGAAGGCTCAGGAGTCCCCCGGCCTTCTGCGAAGTTTCGCAGGCCTTCCCCGAACGCACAGGAAACTTTTCAGAAGGCGCGAGCGCTTCTGAGAAGCCCCGCCGCCATCTGAGAAGGCCTTCTCCTTCGCACTCCCCCCACCTCGCTCGCCACCGAGTTCCGGGAGCCTCCCGAAGCGCCTTGCATCTCAGCGCTCGCAGCCGCGGGCTTTCGCGCGCGGCAGGGAGGGAGTATTTGGTGGATCTGCTCCACGCTGCGCGCGCCTTTTCAGATTTAGACGTTTCTGCTTTGGCGCCCTTTGTGGGGGGCGTGGAACACGTCTCGGGCTGGGCCTCAGCGAGGGGAGGAGGCCGACCCAGCGCCAGACGAGCGCTCTTCAGATGGGTCAGACTAGCCTTCACTTGTCGGGTCCTCAGACCTGGCTCAGATTGCCTCTTCAACCCGAGTTCCATGTTGAATTGCATCCGCTGGCCGATTGCCTCACAACGGCGAAGACGAAAAACTGGCACGAGCACAAATGTTCGACGGTCCGCGCCGATGTCGTGGATCGGCGCTGGAGTCCCCTGGCGGCGCCTCCAGCGCCGCCCCACTCGCGCTTCGCGCGCCAGGGAGGGGGGTCCAGCGCCAATCCGAGAAAGCAGCGCGGACCGCCGAGCAACGATGGTCACGCATTTGGTTGTTCCTCCAATGAGGAGGAGGAGGCGGAGGAGGAGGAGGAGGAGGAGGAGGAGGAGGAGCGTGGTTCCCCAGAGGTCTGGACCCCGTCCGGCGGACGGACTTCTCATCCTGAGCCGTCTGGGGAGCAGCCCCGCGGGCCCCAAAGCAGCCCGAAGGCAGCCGTGATGTTCTTGTCAATGCGCGAGGAGGTCGGCGTTGGGGACATAGTTCAGTTCTCCGGCGGCCGTTCAGGACGATCGAGGCCCCCCCCCCTCCGAACGCCCGCTGCGAGGCGCAGCTGCACCAGCGCTCCCCGAGGCTGCGGAGCCTCCGAGGGCCGGCGGGAACGAGGCGCGAGGAGCTCAGGGCCGGCCTCCACGTCCCCGCGTGCCTCCTGTCACGGCGCGAGGGCGTGACCAGTCGGACCGATGTATAAGATCGAGGTCGGTTCGGGGAGGGTACCCTATTTCGTGTTCGTCGTGTGTGTGTGTGTTCTTGAGAGCGGGGACTAACGAGAGATTCGGCTCTCTGCGGCGGACCATAATTTATTCTTTGGCGCTGTGCAGGCTCGTGTGTCCTGATGCCGAGTAAAAAGAACCCTGGGGAGGTCAGTACCCGTGGATGCTCTTTCTCGTTTTGGCCGACGGAGGGTCTCACGATCTGGAAGGATGCAGTTATTCTGGCCCAGGTCCGACTGAAGGGGCTGGGCTGGGCTGGGCCTTGCCGACGATGAAGATGCGACGTCCGTCGGCGAATCTCTCGGGGCCACCGGGTGGCCTTGGCAAATGCCTGCGTCCATGGGGATTGTCGGGCGGGCCGGGTGTCGATGTTCTGCTCCCCGCCATGCGTGGCCGGCGCGGGCCCGGGGTCAGCGCTGGCCTCGGGGGCAGCGGTTGGGGAGGGGCCGGCCTTCGCTTTGTCTCTTCGCTCTCGTCGTCGTCGTCGTCGCCTCCTCCTCCACCTCCCTTTCCCCCGAAGGGCAGCGACAGGAGGACGCAGCGGCCCCCCACGGCCCAGCCCTCGCCCGCACGGGCCCGATGGCGCACCGCGCCCGGGGTTTGTGCGGACTTGCTGTGGGGGGGGGCCCGCCGCCGAGCCGTCGGAGACGCGTCGCCGCCGGTGCCAGGTCGGCGTTCCCCCGCCCGGGGCCAGCCCGCCCCCCGAGGCAGCCCGCACACCGAGCACGAGCGGCTCTCCCCGAGGCTGCCCGTGCATCCTTCCCCTTCGGCCCAGGCTTGTCAGGAGGGGAAAAAACACACAGACACAATGAATCGTCGATTCCCCCGAAAATATGGGAAGATATGCGAACTGGGCGGGAAGACAGAAACCGAGAAAATATAGGAAAATATGGGGAATCTTTTTATTTGTGTGTATTTATGTGTGTGTGTGTGTCCCGCGCGCTGTCGCCTGGCCGCTTTCTCGCGGGCCGCGCCCCGCTCGCGAGGGACGTCGGCACGGCCCTCCGAGGCCCCTGCGCCCTTGCCGCGCGCCCCGGTTCTGCAGGTCGGCTTCGCCGCTGCCCCGCGTCCCCGGGCCCTGTGCCCTCGAAGGAGGTCAACGGCACCGTAACGGGTACTTACTAACGGGTACTTTGAATTTTTGCCGAAAGTTGCCACTTTAGGGCCTTTTTCTTGCATTGCAGCTTTGCCCACATCGGGAAGGGCTGGGTTCGCTGGGTCACTGGCCAAAGTACCCGTTAGTGGAGTCCCCGTTTGAGGGGCGCTGAGGAGGACGTCGAGGATCCTCCCGCCAGATCCACCCCCCTCCCCTGACGCTCCCCCTCAAGGTCAGGGCCTCCCTGCAGGGACCGCCAACTGGCCAGACATGTCTGGGCTTCTCTTTCCGACCCGTCTTTTGTGGTATCGGGTCCTCGTTTGAGGAGACAGCTCGGGGAACGCACTATGACAGAAACATACAAACTCTGAGGTCAACGCGGAGTTCTTGGATCGGCGTTGGACCCCCATAGCGGTGCCTCCAGCGCCGCCCTTGGCGCGCTCCGCGCCCCAGGGATGGGGGATCCAGCGCCGATCCGAGAATCCCGCGCGGACCTCCGAGTTTTTAATGTTTATGCCATTGTTCGTTCACCTAACAGCGTCCTGCGTCACTCCTGCTCCATCCTCCCTGCTCCCGTCCTTGCCTCGGCCCTCCGCCTGTCCATGTCCAGGGTTCGCATGGCGGCACCGCTCCATTCTGACACACCCCTCACACGCTGTCTGGCCCCCCTTCGTCGTCCCACCTGCCCTGCGGTGCGATCGGACCGATGTATAAGATCTAGGTCGGTTCGGGGAGGGTACCCTAAATGATGTTCGTGTTTGTGTGATGTTTTTCTGCATTCTGGGGGAGGGTGCCCTCGAATGTTATTCCATTTGGCGAGCGGAGGGTCTCATGCCCTTGAAGGATGCTACCATGTGTTGGAGCCGACCGTACAATCGTACCCGCGCCTGCACATGGTTGGGCCCCTCGCCAAGATCCTTGAGATCCGACGGCTCGAAAACATTGAGACCTCGGGAACAATGACGACTGGAACCCGAGACCCCATCTTCCTGCCGCCATGTTTCGAGCCGGATCGATCCGTGAGGGTCCCGGGGCCCGAGTCCAGGCGGAAACGGCCGGCTCGCAAAAGTTGAGACGCCAGGATCTCGGGGTCCCCCTCCTCGGGAGGAGGAGGAGGAGGAGGAGGAGGAGCAGAGGGAGGAGGAGGAGGAGGAGGAGGAGGAGGAGGAGGAGGAGGAGGAGGAGGAGGAGGAGGAAGGCCTCTGGAAGGCACCCAGCGGCACTCGGGGCCCGCTCCACCACCTCTCCCAGGGGCGCGGCCAGCAGTGATGGCGACGCGTGGCAGCCTGGCACGCCTCCTCCTCCTCCTCCTCCTCCTCCTCCTCCTCCTCCTCTTCCTCCTCTTCCGCCTCGTCCTCATCCTCGAAGTCCTCCTCCTCCTCCTCCTCCTCCTCGTCCTCCTAGAGAGTCAGATGTTTGGCGGCGCACGCCCAGAAATCCTCGTGGCCCCAAAGGCCCCACCATGGCTAAAGCCTCGTGTCCACACTGAGACGCCAGGATCTCGGGGTGCCCCCCCTCGCCCTCCCAAGCCCTCGCGGCACTCGTGCCCTGCTCCACCACCTCTCCCAGGGGACCCGCCAGCAGCAAGGGCGACGCGTGGCAGCCTGGCAACAGTCAGGCGGGGGAAAATCACAGGCACAATCGATTCCCACGGCGAAAATATGGGAAAGCATGGGAGGTGGGGGAAGACGACAACCCAGAAAATGTAGAAAAAATTGGGGATCCTTGGATTTGTACGAATTTATTTGCGTGTCCTTGGACCCCTTGGAGCAGAGAGTGAGATGTCTGGCGACGGCGCACGTCTCGAAATCCTCGTGGCCCCAAAGGCCTCCTAATGGCCAAGTCCTCGTGTCCACACTCTAGGCCTCTCAAGTGGGGTCCGAGCAGACTGGGTCGGAGGGCCGCGCCGTATCGTCGATGCACCGGCGATGCGGCTACTCACAGAGACGCCAGGATCTCGAGTATCCTGTTCCACAGCGCGAGCGCTTGCCCCCTGCTCCCCTCGCGCGCGGCCGCCCTCGTCTTCTTTCCTTCCCCGTGCACGCCGGACAGTTCGCCTTCGGCTTGCTCCGAGTACCGCCTCACGCTGGTGCGGACTGCCTCTGCCTCGCCGCGGGTGGGAAAACGCTCCACAGCGCGAGCGGCGCCTCCCTCGTGCAGGGAGCTAATCCATTGGAGATAGGCGTTGGTGAGGATGGAGCTGTGCATGATGTGTACACCCTGGGCGATGCTTAAGAAAACGTAAGGTTTCGGCCAGAGTCTTGATTATTCTTATTGCCTCAATGGAACCCCTAATTTTTTAGTAGAAATTGGGGGGTTTTATTCAAATTCTGAGACTATGAATTTCTTAACCCATGATTTCTTAAGCATTTCGCAGGGTGTATGTGGCCAGCTCGCAGGCCGCCCTCACCGCTGGCTGCTCGCTCCTGGCGTGACATGCTGGCGAGAGCGCCGCCTCCCCTGGGGAAACCAGCAGGCACCGATACCCCTCCCTCCTCCTCCCTCCTCCTCCCTCCTCCTCCCTCCTCCTCCCTCCTCCTCCTCCTCCTCCTTCTCCTCCTCCTCCTCCTCCTCCTCCTCCTCCTCCTTCTCCTCCTCCTCCTCCTCCTCCTCCTCCTCCTCCTGGGGTGCCTTCGGACCAGGATTTCGGGGCGCATCCGTCTTGGGGCGTGCAATACATTTCGGGGCGCAAGTGTATTGCTGCATTCTCGCGCGCAAGGCTTGCACTACAATTCACTACAACGCTCCGGCGCAATACATTGGCAATACGATTGCTCCAAATCTATCGCACCACCCCCTTTCAGCTGGACCCCCGCCGTGCCGGCCCGGCCCCCCGCGCCGGCAATAGATCCCCCGTGGCGGCCGGGGGGACCCCCCTTTGGGGGATCCCCCGTGCCGGCAATAGATCCCCCGCGCCGGCCCTAGATTGATCCCGCGGGATTGACCTGGTCCCACCGACCCCCCTTTGAGCCACCCGAAATGCACTACAATGCACCACGACGCTCCGGCGCAACACATTGGCAATAAGATTGCCCCAGCTCTATCGCACCACCCCCTTCCAGCTGGACCCCCTTTTGAGCCACCCAAAACCCAGACCCCCGACGTAATGATTTTTTCATTACGTCGACCCCCAGAGGTCCCGACCCTTTCCCCATGACCGGCTTTGCATCCTGAGTCGTTTTTTGACGCTCCCGAGGCCCGGTGAGATCCCCCCTGGGCCGAAAACTCAGAAAAACCTCCCGTCATGATTTTTTCATTACTCGAGGGGGTCTGGGAATGTTCCCCCGTGCCAGCCCGGCCCCCGTACGTACGCGCGCCGCGCCGCCAGGGCGCCCGGCCGCCCGGCGGGAGGCCTTCGCGCGCGCGGTGCGGGCGGCGCCTCCGCCCGAGGGGGGGGGCGCGGGTGCGGCGCGAGCGGCGCGCGCGTGCGGCGCGGGGCCCCACCTCGCCCCCATCGCGGGAAGTCGGGCGCGTCCTTCTCGAGGAGGGAGCTTTTCGGGCCGGCCGAAAGGGGAAGACTCAGGAGGAGAAAAAACACACAGACACAATTAATCGTCGGCTCCCAGGAAATATGGGAAAATATGGGAAGTGGGGGGGAAGACAGAAACCCAGAAAATATGAGAAAATATAGGGAATCTTTTTATTTGTGTGTATTTATTTGTGTGTCCCAGGGCCCCTTCAGAAAGGGGAAGACAGGGACAGGGGGGGGTCATCTGCTGCATGCAGCTGGTTTCGGCCCCGCCGCCGGGCCCATTCCTCGATACATGGGCGCCTTCTGGCGCCGGGAGGCGCCGGGAGGATCAGCTATAGGTGAGCTGATTCTCACCCCCCCCCCTTTGCTATCCCCCCCCTTTCGCCCGGCCCGATGTTTTCAGAGCGTGGATTACCTACCCCGCTTTCGCTTCCAGGCAAAACCAAGTCATACCACGCGCCTCCCTGTCGAGCGGCCTGACCAGTGCGGGCCGTAGTTTGGCATTGCTTGGTGGCTCTTGGAAGCGGGGGCGGTCAAAAGCGAGGCAGGTTCGTTTGCCCCCTATATTTCGGAGGTTGACAGGCCTCCTACCCTGACGCGTCGATTCGCGAATTGGCCGCTTGCAGTTCGCGAGAGGGCCGTCGCGGCCGTCGTTTTCGCGGGACCCGGTCCGTCGGTTTCGGTCCTAGGCCGTTTTCATTAAAGGGTGGTTTGCTAAAGGGAGGTTCGTCCACAGCCGAAATTCCGCCTGGAGGGCGACATGCCCGACCTAACCCTCGCCACTCGCGCGCCTCCTTCCTTGGAGCACGAGGTCATCGACTGCAGTGGAGGCCCATGCCAAGAAACACCCGGCTTGCCTCCAGGGTGCCCTGGGCTTCTTGGGTTTCGAGGGTTTTGTGATGGAATGCGTGAGGTTCCCACACCAAAAATGTCCATGGACGCCCGGGGGTCCAAGGGTTGGGTTTCTTGCGTAAGGTTTCTCGTGGACTGGCCTCCACTGTGCAGAATTGATTTTCCCTAGAATTCATTTTCTCGTCGAGTCCTGCGTAGAATGTCGTAGACCTACGAAACATCCTCTACGAATTTCGCATGGAGTCGATGAGCAATCAAGCTTGGGGGAAGTCAATTCTGTAGTCGATCCCCTCACGCTGCGAAACAAAAAATCACCACGGACTGTTTTTCGCCATGTTCGGCCTCTGGGGGCCTTTGCCGGGCCTCGGAGCCGTCCAAAAGCGACTCGGGAGGGGAAGCCGGCCCCGGGGAGTGGGTCCGCACCAGTCGACGTTCTGGAACAATCATGACGTCGCAGGTCCGGGCACAGATTTGATTTGCCCCAGAACTTCTCGAGGCCTCCCAGATGAGGGCGGAGCAGGTGTGGTCGGAGGATCGCGCCGCATCGTCGACGCATCTTCGATGCGACTCGATGTGGAGCCCGTTTTTCTCCAGGCCGGCGTCGCCGAGGCATCGCCGAGGTAGCGCCGATATGCGGCGCGCTTCTCCGACCCCGGCCGCTGAGAGATGCGAAAGTGATGTTTATCAGGAGGGAACGAAACACACAGACGACGACGACAAACGGCGCAGCCCCTCACACACGCCGACAGGGTCGGCGGATTTGGGCTGGTCCAGATTCTCGCGGTGCGCGCCGAGTTCCTCCTCCAGCCTCTCAGCGAAGCTACGCCAGCAAACGTTGAGCGATTCACGATCTCCCACCGCCCGAACATAATTCAGGTGGGAAAGAAACACACAGACACAATTTATCGTTGATTCCCCAGAAATAATGGAGAATATGGGAAGTTTATGGGAGAATATGGGAAGTGGGCGGGAGACAAAAGCAGAGGAAATATAGAAACATGTGGGGCATCTTTGTATTTGTGTGTATCTATTTGTGTGTCCCAGGGCCCCTTTCAGTTCATATGAGTTTATATGATGTTCGCAGATCTGCGGGACATTGTACGTCTTGCTCGTACCTTCGGCGAAACAACAAGTTTGGGGTAAGTCAGTTCTGTGGTCGATCTCGTAACTACTCGATTCCTCCTCCCTCCTCCGCAGCATGCCCAGGAGGCTCAGGTGCCATCCGACGTGGCGCGTGGTCATGATGAGCTTCTGTGGCCCAGGCTTGCACGATTCGGACGGGAAATGCCCGCATTGTCCTTGAGTGTGCTGCGATCCATGCGGAACCCGAGCGCCGGTTGTCCAAGCAGCCTCTCGACAAGGATTCTCCGTCGCCGACGATCATGGATCGAGGGTGGCATCAGGACTGGCTCGCACGTGGGAGGCTTCCTCGCTGGGCGTTGGTCGTGCGCCTCCGGCCGAGGCGAAGTGATCGATGCTTCCGCATCCTGGCGTGCTCGCCTCCGCAGCATTTGCCCTGCTGTGTCTGTGGGGAGGGGCGGGCTTGGCACCGAGATTGGACACGCTAACGGCGATGCAGGTAACGGCGATGCAAGTTTCGGTTGCTGTTGGAAAGCGCGGCTCGTGCTTCCCTACAATTCGCGGTGCCGTTTTCGCTCGACACATCCGCAGATTGCGCATGTAGGAAAGTTTGGTGTGTGACTTCCTACAGTTCTCCGACATCACTGCTGAGTGCGGGGGTAGGTGAGCACCGTGTGACACGCTCTCGACTGGCGCGGCCTGGCAGTCCCCTCTCCGACCGCGATGGCGGCCCATGGCGTTCTCTCCTGCTGGAGCCCCTGCCGGCCAGGGCATCCAGGTGGACATCGGGCAAGGAGGTCCATGCTTCTCACGCTTCACTGCAGAAGTCTTCCTCACATGTTTGTGGGGCTTCTGGCTCCAGGGCAAAAAGGCTCGCCCGCATCGCGTGCGGGAGCCCCGCGCGGTGGCCCCACGATGCCTCCATGCCACGTGGAAGTGCCAGCTGGATGTTCTCCAGAGACTGTCCTCCTGCTCCTCCTCCTCTTCCTCCGCCTCCTCCCCGGCTTCTCCTCCTCCCCCTCCTCCTGCTTCCTGGATCCTGCTGCCGCGTCTTCTTCCCCTCCTCCCTCTCCAGGTCCTGCTCAACGGTGGCAGGCGACATGGGGAAGGACATTTCGCTACCGAGGGGCCCCACATACTTATAATATGTCTGGCGTGATGGTAGCTGACGTGAAACTTGCGAGAATGATGCATGTGGCCGTTGCTTCGCCGATACCGTTGGTGGTGTCGGTCAAGTCTTGGGAGTCTGAGTACCCTGAGGGGGGTCCATAGGCCCTGGGAGGCCGACCCCCCTGCGCCCCCCCCCCTTTCTGGTGTCGAGAAAGTGCCACGCCTGCGGTGCCCGACGAGAGGCGCGCATAGCGGCCGCGGTGAGAGACCACCCCTTGCTCACTCTCTCTGGTGTCGAGAAAGTGCCACGCCTGGCCCCCTTTGGTGTCGAGGAAGTGCCACGCCTGCGGTGCCCTGGACGAGAGGCGCGCGTAGCGGCCGCGGTGACAGACCACCCCCTACGCACCCCTTCTGGTGTCGAGAAAGTGCCACGCCTGCGCTGCCGTGGACGAGAGGCGCGCATAGCGGCCGCGGTGAGGGATCACCCTCTGCGCACCCCCTCTGGCGTCGAGTATGATGCAGTGAACACGCCAGGCGTGCACTTCCGTTGTTTGTTTGTTTGTTTGTTTGTTTGTTTGTTTGTGTGTGTGTGTGTGCGTGTGTGTGTGTGTGTGTTTGTGTTTGTGTTTGTGTGTGTGCGTGTGCATGCGTGCGTGCGTGCGTGCGTGCGGCGGCATGTCGACGCGTTTCTCGTGTACGTGCCGTGCATGCGTTGCGCGTGGGTGGGGGGAGAACGGATGCGGAGGAGAGGGAGGAGGGATGAGAGAGGTGTGAGGAAGACGCGGGTGCGACGCGGGTGGGAAGAAAACCATAACCTCACGAAACATGTGGGGAATAATGGAAACGATTGTCGGGTCAGACGAAAGTGGGAGGATAGGGCAGACGGAGGGTACGACATCTGCTTTATGCAGCTGGTTTCGGCCCCGCCGCTGAGCGCTTTCCTCTACGCATTGGCCCATCTGGCGTTTTAAAAAATCAGCTGCGTGAGCTGATTCGCTACGCAACTTCCGCTACCCCCCCCCTCGTCCGACCTGAGAAGACCGACCCTCAGTCACGACGCCACTTTTGGCGTTTCGGGGCCCTCACCGAGCCCCGGGGCCTTCAATAAGCGACTCGGGATGACGCGCTGATCCTTGGAACGGGTTCAGACCTCTGTGGAGCCGCGCTGTTCAAGAAGCGAAAACGACGTCGGACGTCAGGGAAGACCGATACGGTCAACCCGCATGGTAAGGATGAGCGATTTTCCAGGGTTGCCCTTGCATTCTTCCCTTTCGGCCCATCCTTGCCCGCTTTCGCGGGCCGCGCCCCGCTCGCAAAATGTCGACATGGCCTTCCAAGGCTTCCGTCCTTACCGCCTATCCTTATCATCTAGGTTGACTGTAGAGGGAGACTGGAAAAAGTGGCTGGGACCAGCCCTTCCACTCTTTCCACTCCTGGCAAGTTTTCCTTTGCTCTTTCCAGCCCTGGCGGCCTCATCCCGACTTCCTCGGGCTCGTCGCGGCCCTTGCCGGTTTCTCCGACTCCGACGGAGCTCCCAACTTCCACTTCTTCCAGCCTCCCCGTGTCAGGAGGGAAAAAAACACACAGACACAATTAATCCTCGATCCCCCAGAAAATATGGGAAAATATGGGAAGTGGGGGGGAAGACAGAAACCCAGAAAATATGGGAAAATATGGGGAACCTTTTTATTTATGTGTCCTGGGGCCCCTTCACCGTGGCAGGCTTCGATCCTGCCCATTCGAGCAGCACTCGGCGTCCCCGCGGGCGTGCTGTCCACTCAAGGCAGCCGCTGTCGGGCTCGGGCAGCGCTCGCTGCTGGAGCCCCCGGGCCTCTTAGGCCGGCCCGCCCCGCCCAGCTTCGCCCGCCCCACGCCCCCCCGCGGTGTGAGGCCCTCGAGTCCGTGCGAGACGCCCTCGCGGAGGCCGCCGGGGAGGGGGCGTCATCTCCCCTCTCCGCCTCTCTCCTCTCTCCTCTCTCCTCCTCCTCCTCGTCCTCGTCCTCCTCCTCCTTCTCCTCCTCCTCCTCCTCCTCCTCCTCCCCCTCCTCCCTATCTCCTCCTCCTCCTCCATAGCTCCTCCTCCTCCTCCCTAGCTGTTCCTCCTTTTCCTCCTCCTCCTCCCCTTCCTCCTCCCTAGCTCCTCCTCCTCTCTAGCTTCGCCTCCTCTTCTTCCTCCTCCCTTTCCTTCTCCTCCTCCTCCTCCTCCATTTCTTTTCTTGACAATGATTTACCCCTGTCACACCACGAGGCCAGTTTGTAGGGCGGGCCAGATATTTCGTCTGAGACTGCCTCACCATTTATGAACCTGAAGCGTAACAGAAAGGTGGCAACATCTTCACAGATGGAGGGTGGGTCGTTTTCGCCATGTGGTTTTCGCTTTAGCGCCGCGCACATTTGTGTCTAAGCATTTGCAAGAGTTTCACGGATTGAGGGCGTGTGATTTTCAACATGTGGTTTTCGCGTGAGCGCCGCGCACATTTGTTTTTAAACATGTGCAAGAGCTTCACGGATTGAAGGGCTGGCAGTTTTCAACATGTGGTTCTCGCCTTAGCGCCGCGCATATTCGTTTCAGGATTGTGCAAGCGTTTTTCTAATGAAACGCGGGTCATGTTCAAAATGTGGTTCTCGCTTCAGCGCCGCGAACATTCGTTTTCAAAATGTGCAGGAGTTTCACGGATGGAGGGCGGGTTTTTTCAATAATGTGGTTCTCGTTTTGGCGCCGCGCGCATTCGCTTTAAACATGTGCAAGAGTTTCACGGATTGAAGACGGGTGGTTTTCAAAATGTGGTTCTCGCCTCAGCGCCGCGCACATTTGTTTTAAACATTTGCAAGAGTTTCGCGGGTTCCCATGAATACCGTACCAGAAAGTGCGCTTGGGAAGGATTCGGGATTATGAGGGTTCAACAGTTACGTTGCTTCGCGGTGGTGAAGTCACAGGAATGGCGTTCTGGCACGATTCTGGATCGTCAGGATGCAACAGTCAGGTTGACCCGAAGCGTTTGAATCCCGAGAACAATGTTTTGGCAGGCTTCAGGGTGTTCAAACGGTTGTCTTTCAACGAGGCCGTTCCCGTAGAGAAAATATACCGTTGTAGGGGCGTATGGAGAGGGAGTTTGGAGGAAGGGTTTATTCCAACATCGTTGATGATTCTTGGGTTTACACTGGTCCTCCTCCTCATCATCCTCATCCTCCTCCTCTTCATTCACCTCCTCTTCCTCCTTCTCTTCCTCCTCCTCCTCCTCCTTCCTCTCTCCTCCTCGTCCTCCCTAGCTCCTCCTCCTCCTCGTCCTCCTCCTCCTCCTCCTCCTCCTGCCTAGCTCCTCCTTATCCTCCTTTCCTCCTCCTTGTCCTTCTCCCTCCCCCCTCCAGCTCCGGCTCCGGCCACATGCGGCCCTGGCGGCGGATGGGCGGGCTGGGGCGAGAGTGGTGCAGCTGGGCCCGCCCTCCTCCCCTCTCCAGGCCACGCCCCGAGGGGTAATGCCATAATGCCGCCTCCCCCCCTCCTCCGGGCCACGCCCCGAGGGGTAATGCCGCTTCTGCAGGCCACGCCCCGACGGGTAATGCCGCCTCCCCCCCCCTCCTCCTCCAGGCCACGCTCCGCGGGGTAATGCCGCCTCCACGGGCTGGTCAGGGGCGCGACGCGGCTCGACCGCGCGGCGGAGGTGACAGAGCACTTGCAGGTGCTTCCCGATGTGTCTGTCGATCGGCTCGGCGAGGCCCAGCGGGCCTCTCCACAGGCGCAGACGCGGGCAGGTGTCGCAGTGGAAGCACCCTGTCCTGATTCCAGCTGTGCGCGCGCAGGAGCAGGCACGGTTTGTGCTCAGGCTGGCTGCCCTGAATGGGGAGGGCCTGATCTTGTATCGCGAGTTGCTGCTGCTGCGGCCGCCGCTGGCTCCGGGGCTTCGCTGGGCGCCGTGGGGGGCAAGTCTGTGGAAGTGCTTTCGGGCTTGGTCAGTGGCCCGGGGGACGGCGCGCGTGCCTGCAGAGGTGTGGTGGCCAGAGCACGGACGCTGCGACAGCCGAGCGTGCCCGGTGTAGGGCACGGCGCTTGGGGCGCGCGCGGTGTCTGGCCCAGGCGTGTCTGGCCCAGGCCTCAGGCATTTGCTCGGCGAGAGCGTGGAGCTGCGTGGGCTGCGTGGGCTGCGTGGGCTGCGCGACGCGTGCAGCGGCGCCTGGGGGCCCAGCCGGTTGCCGCGGGGCGCTGGAGGACACACTGGTCTGGACTTGCAAGAGTTGGCGGGGAAGTGCGGCGGCAAGTTTGTGGGCCTGGCCGCGAGGGCGTGGGCGCAGTGCGCGCGGGGGCATGCAGGCGGCGGCGGCGGCGCGCGCGCGAGCCTGGCCTGAGGGAGGGGTTCCCGCTGGAACTCCTTCCGCCCCCCAGCCGCGATGGCCCGAAGGCCCACGGGCGGAGGCGCACGTGACGGGGGGTGCTGCGGCCTGAGGGCCGGATTTGGCGGTGCAGCCCTCGAGCAATGCAGCCCTACTCCTCCTCCTCCTCCTCCTCCTCCTCCTCCCCTCCTCCTCCTCCTCCTCCTCCTCCTCCTCCTCCTCCTCCACAATTACTCAGTATGAATACTACTCTCCTCCTTCCCCTGTTGACGGGTTGGGAGTGTTCGCCCCCCCCCGCGTATTGTTTTTTACACGCAGGATTCCCCGGAGTTGGGTTTTGTCGCTTGCATTTGTTTCCAAAATGCTGCTCTCGCTGAGGCGCCGGCCTCATTTTCGGGCCCCGCTCCTCCCGCTGCAGCGCTGGCCTCATTTCCGTGCGTCCGCTCGTTCCGAATCGTGCTCCCGCTGCAGCGCTAGCCTCATTTCCGCGCTTCCGCTCGTTCCGAATCGTGCTCCCGCTGCAGCGCTGGCGTCATTGCCCGTGCCATGCCACGGCATGCAATGCAATGCTAGGTTGCGTTCCGCTGCGCGATGCCATGCCTTGAGCTGAAGCTGTGATATGCAGGGCTTAAGTGCCACGTCGTGCTATGCCATGCTACGCTTTGATCTTCAACGCCATGCTATGCAATGTTATGTTCGGGGCCGCTGTGCGATGCCATGCTTTGCGTTGCAAAGCGTTGTGATGCAATTCTTCACTACGCCACGCCACGCCATGCTGTGACATACTTCGCTTTGCGGTGCTCTTCTACGCCATGCCATGCCGTGCTCTACAATGCATCGCGTACCCTTTCGGGCTCATTGCCCTGCTCGACATCCGACGGTGCGAGTAGAGAGGGGATCTACGCCATGGTGAGAGATGGGAGGGAGGGGTAGGATGTCAGATATGACGCGAGCGCACCTAGCTTGTCCCCCACTCCTCCTCCTTCTCCTCTTCCTCCTTCTCCTCCTCCTCAGCAGCATCATCGTCATCATCATCATCATCATCAGCATTATCATCCTCATCCTCATCATCATCATCACCACCATCAGGATTAACATCATCATCATCGTCAGCAGCC